CGAATAATAAAGGATAAGGAGGATATAGTACCCACAATCAAGCGCTGTATTGATCGACCGCACTTTGTATCTATATCTGTAGGTGTACGTATTGTGTGGACGTTATGGCGCGGACCGCAAGTGTAAGCGTTTGCTAAGGAGTGCATGATCCGCAGGGTTGCTGTATCTGTTATTATTCGACCACTACAGCGCCGTATGAGCAGCCCAGTGATTGAAAGAGTTCCATTTCTCATTATAGAGCGCGCCTGGCGAAGCCAGGCCAGCTCGGCGAAGCCGAGCTAAAGAGAAGGAGGAGAGCTCGGCGTCAGCCGGGCGATCCGACTGGTATTACATAAAGCGACAATACGGTACGTGGGGAGGGGGCAGTCAGCTGAATAATTTGTAGATCGCTCGCGCAACACTTCTCCAGGACTCTGCTTCCCAAAAAAATTACTTCTCAGCAACTTCCGGTGGGACCTGAACGCGCTGCAACCGTACGCGTTTCTGACCCACTCAACGAACATATATCAGAGATTCAATCAGTTTTTAACATTTGCAGATACAGTCCATTCTATGAATTTGTTGGCTACGTAAACAGTAGATCAGAGACGCGCGCGGTAGCGACGTATCCAGGTCACCGCTAGAACTTGTTGAAGTTCTGCTAGCAACTTTACTGCGCTTTCTGTGCTCTCCCATTGACTTCTCAACCATTCCTTTCTTTTTCGAGGTCCACGTCAAATCGATCTATCAATTGAAAGAATATGTGGATGAGCGACGCGACCGCACGCGTCGCCCACTCACTTATTTTGTTAATTCAGGTGTAAACGTACCGAGAACTGAATACATCTGCCTTCCTCTGGAATCATAATAGAATCTGGGCGATGTGGTTCCAGTACCGTCAGGAATTCCCACATCGAAATATTCCGTTGGAAGACCACCGGCTGTATTGTACACCTCCGTAGGTATACCACCGTTGCGAGAGCAAATGAACACTGAAGAAGGTTCTTGGAAAACAGCCAAAAAAACGCAAATACAAGAAAATATTCTTACAGTAGGTTGGGCAACATTGCTGGAGAGTACCCATTGTAGTGCACTGATAATTCGGATTGTTACAGCCGTTATCATTGCCTTGACAATACACAGGCTCTTGTTTGACTCCTGTCGTTCGGTCACGGTACAGAGGAAGACCTCGGTTGCAAGCTGGAATGACTCAGAAATGGTTGCCCCTTATCTGGGAAGTAAAACAACGGAAAATCGCGCACTTTTTGAGATAACTACTGAAAAACAATCTACCAATAGACATGCAGCATGACACGGTGACGTATTGACCAATCAGAACCTGAAGGAGACTCTGAGCACAGGTTCTGATTGATCAATCGGTTCCCGGTCATGTTTGAACACAAAACAGACTTTCCGCCCACTTCAAAGGCACAACCCATGATGTTCGCATGGCCGCAGCAAGCATTGTGCTTTGTTCATTTCCCCTGTGCGCAAAACCTTCCTACCACTGTGAAAACGAAAGATGCGCC